GGATGAAGGGATGTCTTCTGTCCAAGGAACTGATGCCCTGTGTCCTGTGCAGAACCCAGCTGTGAGCAGGGACCAGGACCAGGACCAGGACCAGGACCAGGACCAGGTTCAGCTCATCCCACTGGAAACAGGCTCCATGCTCACCTCAGCTGGGCTGGGACTAACACCGTGCTCACCGTGGGTCAGAGGCACGAGGAACCAGCCCGGTGCTGTTTACCCAAGGCATTCCAGGCTTGGGCAAGGACCTGCCACCCCTGGTGCTATAAAAAGCCATCAGGGCTGTGGCTGAGCCACACCAGCTCCCAGTTCCTGCCCGGGCAGGGCTCCTCACCTCCGGCTGCTTACGGGTAGGAAGCAATGCTTGTTCGGTGGCTCTGGGCCGGTGCCACCACTGGCACAGCACTCTGGGGTGTCATCATGCCTGGAGAGATGAACAAAGAGCTTCTTCCCAGGCTGCTGCAAAACCTGTTCAGCTGAACTGATGTAAAGATAAGAAAACCAGGTCACTACCGAGGTGCACATTAGGGAGGCACAGGAGCCGTGGGTGGGAGGGGAGGCACCGGCAGCAGCTCTCCAGGGCAGAGAGGTGATGGTTCTCTGCATGGACACGCTGCATCCTGGGCAAAGGGGGTTTTGCCACAGCCAAGGCCTGTTCTGAGCTGGGTCACTCCCTGTGCCAGGACTGAGCCACACTGCTCCATGGCAATCTCCATGAGGAACTCTGCATCCTGCCTGAACAAATCAGCAGGGGACTGGCACATCCATTTCCTGCACATCCACTTCCCCCCCAGGTGTTTATTCATAGAATACCCCAAAAGCGTTATCCATCCAACATCACAACACTGTGGCAAAGAGGTACTCTAGGAAAACTGGTTTTACTTAAAAATACCTAAAAGACAGAGTTGTGTGGAGCACCCAGAGCGTGCTGAAGCACACGGTGCCCCAGGGAACCTCCCAAATTACAGCACCAGCAGCTGCAGGTGGGGGGTGATGGAGGAGCCACACAGCCCAGGCAGCAGCAACAACTGCTCAGGACTTGCTCTACTCCCCAGAAATTTGCTTCTTTCTGATATTTCAGAGCCTCCATTAAAGCTCCAGGTTCCTGTCTGAGCACAGACACCCTGTTCTCACCACCAGGACTGTTTCCTGCTGGGCAGTCCCAACTCCAAACATCTCCTTAAGCAATTTGCACATCTTAAAAATAAAATCCTTTATTGATAATATGAATGTTTAACATGTTTAATGCCATCAGCTATAAAAATGATTAAAGACTTCAGCTTGGTACATTTGGCTTTACAAATTTACAAGTGTTAATGAATTAATACTAGTGTTATACATTTTGCACTTCATTATACTCCATTAGCCAGTGACAAACTCTGCAACAATGTCTGCTTAGGACTGATGTGAGTTAGAGAAGAAATATTTAGTTGCTTCCACACAGAATCTACATCAACAGTTAAATACTAACTCTAAATGTCTTACTGAATTAGTTGGATCCATTTTAATCCCTTGTGCTTAGTCTCTCTCAGAAGTTAGGCTACTAGCAAAAATACATTCTTTTGCATACCCCCTTCCCATATTATATTTCAGAAGAAACAGTACTCAGTGCATTTCCTATTAGACTTCATCATAGTATCTCTCTCTCTAGAGCTATCAATAAAGGGGATAATACCAGTTAGATTAATGTAAAAGCAAAGAAACTCGTTAAAGCAGTGTATACAAAAGCCTCACTTTTGAATTGGAAGGGATACATGGGCCAAAATCCACCTGCCCATACATTTTTACAGTTTCTCTCAGCAAGAGGGAAAAAAAAAATCTCCTGTGGATACTTAGTTAAAAAAGTAATAAATGTGCTTCCAAAAGAGTCACTGCCCATTTAGCTCTGGCTGCCTCTGTCCCTCTGCTGTTTGTGCACAGCCTGCTCCACTGGATTAGGAACAACAGCCTACAGGATCACAATTTAAAAGGCTGCTAAAAGGTCTGTCCAAACCCCTGTTCTAGTCCAAACACCTGCCACGGTGTGTGGGGTCACTCAGAGCAGCCCAGAGCTCTGCTGTCCCATGGGACGAGGCTCAAAGCCTGCAGGAACCTCCCTGCCATGGCCACAGGTGCCTCCTCCCAGGGCACAGGGATCCTCCCCCCAGCAAAGGTGTTTTATCTATGGAAATACTGAAAACTGGCAAAGGAGAAGGTGTCTCTGGCAGTGGGAAGCTGTGCTCTGTGTAAACACCACACTGCACCCAGGGAAGGGCTCTCAAAGCAGCAAGTCCAGGTTCTAAATTTAGGCTCAATTCCCATCCAACACCGGAGATCATTAACTCAGGGTCGTGCTCTCAGCCCCTGCCACTGATCTGTGGGGTTTCTCCTGTATTTCTCACCACAGTGACTCAGAAAACCACTGTGCTGTGCTGGCTGCTTTGCCTGCAGCAAATGTTTCTGCACAGGAACCAGCTGCTTTCTCCCCTCTCGGGCCCAAATGCTTTTTCACACTCATGATTTGCCTCAAACTTAGACAATTCCTCACTAAATGGTTTTTTTTAATTGCCACATCTTCTTCCTATTAGGCAGGAGATCAGGAGCATATAAAGATTTCCCTAATACACTGTGTGTTCAGTACATATGTGTGTGATATATCTACACACATATACATATTCATTTCCACAGCAGTGATGATTTGGTTCCATAACTGCAGCCAAGGAAAGCCAGCAAGATCCCAAAGCTCGTGGGTAAAATCCAGGTCAGTCAGACACAACTGACAGAGATGAGGAACAAAATTATTGCTTTTGTTTACAGTCGAAGATCCCATGTTACTGTTGCAAAAAAAACTGTGTCATGTGGATTAGTGATTTTTTTTCAAGTAATAGTGAGATCTTTGTCAAGTAACAGAAAGATCCTTTTCTCAGAAGTTCTACACACAACAGTAGAATGCTTGAGGAGCTCGAAAATTCTGGGTGACACACCACAAACCAGAGTTTAGCCATTTAAAGCACACAGGCATCTTTGCACAATGTGTGAGAGGAAAGCAAAAAGAACTATATGGACAAGAAATGCTGTGAAAAAAAAAGTATCCAGGTTGTATTACAGCTACATTTTACCCCAAAAAACTCACGTGCTTCCTCAAATTAGCTGGGAGCTGTGTCCTGAAGGGCACAGCATGGCTGGTTGTGTTGGTCTGGTGGTCACCTTACAGAATTTGTAGTGTATTTGCTAACTTCTTGTAGCAAATGGAAAGAATTCAAAAGAAAACCAGTGTTGGTTTCAACATTCAGGACTCAGAAGGATTTGTTTCTGCAGCTAGATGGTCCCCTCCTCACCTTTTCCCGAGAATCACATTCATATTGCAGGCTTAGTTCAGGCACTTTTATAAAATGTTCATCTGGAGTAAAAAGTCTGCAAAAAAATCTTTTTTCTACATAATTTAAAAGTAGCATTTCAGTCCCATTAGAGGTTGATAGGTCCCACCACACGATTATGGTTCTCTCTAATGATTTGACTGTTGCCATGAGACGTTTGGAGGCTACTGTATAGCTGTAGTTAAGGTTTCTTCATAAACAAAAATATTTTCCTACCTATTAAAAAAAAAGAAAAAAATATACTAAATGCTTTATACAGACAGAATCTGCTACTATGGAAATAAATAACATGGAGTGGAAAAAACAGTGTCTTATAGCTCCAGGGTGCTGAGCTGTGGAATGTCACATTCCCAGTTTCTGGAGACTAGCTGCTGGTTGGCAGGAGGATCTCCAGGTCTTTGCCATTCGACACGACAGCGTTGTTGGAGCAGCTGCTTGCCACGTCCATGGGGGCCCCCAGGGGGGACGCCTGGGCAGGGCTTTTGGTGAGAGGAGCAGGAGCAGCAGGTGACTGAGCCAGGCCAGGCTTCTTGGGAGGGATGGGCGGAGGGTTCCCCCTCTCTGCTCTAGGAATGGTCGGCGACTTAATCCCGGGAGACAACGGGCTGAGAGGGCTGGACACCTTGACAGGGCTGGGGGAGTGCCCAGCCTCGGTTTTGGGGCTCCCAGCACTGGCCAGGGTTCGGTAGTCCGTGCCAAAGGGGGAGCTGTTGGGGGAGACGGGTTTGATGGGGCCCTGCTGGCTGGTGAACCTGGAGAGCACCTGAGTGACCGTGTTGCGGGCCAGCTGCTTGGCTGCTGAGTTGTCTGCCAGGGTGGGGGACAGGTCCCGGGAGGGGGGGCTCTGCAGCCCACTGGACTGGTGGTCCTGCTCTGCCTGGGACTGGAACTTGTGCCTGGCTGCGTGGAAGCGCTGGTTGATGCCCACCTGGTAGGAGGACTGGTAGCCAGGGCTGCTGGCTGAGGCTCCCACCAAGCGCTTGGTCAGCACCGGTGAGGAGCAGGGAGAAGGTGTCAGGGAGGACCCAGCTGTGCTGCTGGGAGACAGGGAGACCCCCCCAGCAGGGTGCTGGGACATCAGGTGCACCGGTGACTCCGTTCTTACGGGAGAGCTCCCGTTCTCCACCGCGCTTTCCGAGGCTGCACCAGCAGATCTCTCCCTCTGAGCCTGGCTCTCTGCAGGGTGTGTCTGCAGGGGCTCCCCACCTGCCTGCCCATCCAGGTCACAATGCCCATTGGATTTTGCATAGGAGTGAACTGGTGCAGAGGGGCTGGGAAACATGCTGTGAACAGCTTTGCTTGTGCTGGCAGGGTTTGCCCTCTCTGCCTGCAGACACTCGGTCTGGCAAGACACAGACTTCACCGGGGGACTGTCGGTTGTGACGCCCCTGGACACCACCGAGGGGCTTGGCTGCAAAGGCTCAGAGGGACTGTGCTCCTGCTGAGAAGCCTCCAGCTCTTTCAGGGCTTTCTTCAGACATTCCACCTCTTCTTTGAGTGCTTTTGTACGGTTTTCTTCTCTGTTCAGCTTGGCTTTCAGCTGTTCCCTTTCAATGTCGAACTCCGAGAGCTGCTTTTCGACCTGTGCTTCCATCTGCAAACCCCGCTTCCTCTTGGCTGCCAGCTCCTCTTCCAGCTTGCTCACCTTACTCTTCTCCTTTTCCAGTTTCAAGCTCAGTTCTGCTGTCTTCTGCCCCTCCTCAGCTGCTTTGGCAGTGGCTTTCTTGCACTCCACTACAAGCATGGAAGACAGTTGCTTGTGGCGTGCCCTCTCCTCCTCCAGCTGGCTTGACAGCTTCTTCTGCTCTTTCTCAAACTTTTTCACTTGGGATTTTTCAAACTCCACCTGCAAATTAAGAACAAAAGAGATTCTAAGGGAAACTTAAAGCCTTGAAGGATAATGCCCCAAAAAGGAACGGGGTTCACTGTGTATCTTGGAGAAATCACACAGTAAAAGATGGCAAAGGCTAAGAAAGAGGTTCTTGCCCCAGAAACCTGCAAGACAGTCTGGAATGACTCAGCTTGCACGTAGTAAGAATTATTACTTACTAGTAGTTTTATCATGTATGAAATTCAATTGACCTTTAGTGAGATATACACCCAGCCTGCCATGCACTGATGGAACAAGCGAGCCGGAGCAAAGCCTCCTTCCACCTCATTTACTACTTTGTCAGTTTGCCTTCTAAAGGCATTTAGGCTTTAAAATGCTGATGTGTTATGTGTGCTTAATAAAGGCAGCAGCGCTGGAGTAACTGAAAACAGTGGCTTAAATATTTATTAGCATCTCTGAATAACACCCCCAGGAGATCTCTCATGACTTATTCTGAATTTTGAGCACACAGAGCACCACCAATTGTAAGTTCAGCCCTGTTCTTGAGCACTCCTCAGATTTCAGGCTGAAGGAATATCTGATTGCCTATTAATAGCTTTTAGCACTGCTCAGCCACCGAAACGCCCCGAGAAATTAAGGTTGTTTTTCACAGCAAAATGATAAAAGCCAGGAATGCCTTGGAGAGGGAGGTTCCTGCTACTCTTTCAACACGTCCCTGAGGGGTTCAGCACCCAGGAGCTCAGGGGTTTCTGTGGGCTGGGTAATCAGCAGCTCCCAAACTGTACCTGCTGGGTGAGCCGCTCCCGCTCCTTCTCCAGCATGTAGGTGACATCGTCCCCCTCGGCCGTGTCCTGGGCGTGCCGCTGCCTCTCCTCCTCCAGGTCCAGGATCACCTGCCAAACAAACACCAGGGGATGCCCAGCTGTGCTCACAAGCAGGGAGAGGTCAGCACAGACAGTCACACACGTCCAAAGCCACAGGGAGGGATCTGCGCCCTTGCACAGGCTCGAATGACACACGGGAGCAACCACTGCAGGCTCAGACATCCAAATTCAGCTCAAAGTCACATTTTTGGACAGGCTCAATGCTATGGTGTTACCTGGTCTAACTGAGTCAGTTTGTGAAAGAAGTTACAAAAATGTCACACTGCATCTGTCTTCACATCTTCATTTTATCACTAAATACCTGAATTGCGTGATTCTCCTCCACGCTGTGGAACAGCCTTGAGAGGTTCCTGTTATGAACAATCCCATCCCAGAATGGCTGGGGTTGGAAGGGCCCTCTGGAGATCACCTAGTCCAACCCCCTTGCCAAAGCAGGTTCACCTGCAGCAGGTTGCACAGATCACAGCCAGGAGGGGTTTGGATATCTCCAGAGAAGGAGACTGCACAGCCTCTCTGGGCAGCCTGTTCCAGTGCACTGCCACCCTCAAAATACATCAGTTTTTCCTCATATTCAGATGGAACTCCCTGTATTTCAGTCTGTGCCTGTTGTGCCTTGAAACTCAAAATTTCCTGGCAGAACCATCAATACAAACCCCAGTAGGAGCAGAGGTGCTGCACCCAGGGGACACAGCAGTGACAGGACAGTCCTTGCTATGGTTCCAGCAGTAATTCCCACACAGGCTTCTCCCCAGTGCCTTACAGGGATTTGAGGACTCCAGTGCCAAGTTTATTTTAAAGAACATTAATTTGTTCCTCCACTTAAGAGCAAGATGAGCTCTTGAAATGAAACTGCTTCCCATAAGGACCCAGTTAAGGAGCTCCTTCAGCTTTAACGCTGAATTACATGAATAATTGAAATTCTATTAACTCAACAAAAAAAAACCCACTCAGAATACAAACTTTCCAAGAGGATCTGCTGTTTCTCATCACCAAAACTCTGAGCTCTCCCAACACATGCTCAACCTGAATTTAGCAGCTCCTCTTTAGCTCCGTCTTCCTGAAATTTAAGCTTCCAAATAATGCTTATATATCATTAAGTATTCAAGGGAGATTTTCACAGAAGGAGACAGGAAGAACAGAAGGAGAAGGGGAAAAATATCTGATTTTAATAGTATGATTTAATTAGGTATTTGGCTGAAAAGTGAACCACAGCCTTGCTGTCACTTCCAGAGGCTTCTATTTCTGTGGAATTATGTGAACCAAGAACTATATTGATGTCAATATGCATCTGAAGAATAACAGGTGCTTCATTAAAGAGGCCAAATAGCATGGAAAATACTTCTGGTCACTCCATACTTCCTTAGGGAAGCACAAGGAGGTGCTATCTCATTACTACCTGGCACCAGCCTCTCAACAACCACTCACTACAAGCCACAAGCAGAACAGTGACTTTCTGCTCAGAATTCCATCTTCCAGAGACCCTTTCCTACATTTTGGGAAGCACTATACCCTCCCAGCTGCAAGCTAGCTCCTTTTTGGACTGTCCCAACAAAAACATCTTGTGTGTGCTTCAGATTTTGGAATTATAACTAATAAACTTACCAGCTGCATCACCTTGAATGAGAAGTTTAAACAAAGGTGCAAAGTCCTTTCATTTACCAAATCTCAGGGATTTAAATGTTCTTGCTGAAGTTAACATATCACCAAAATGCACATCTTACTTGAAGCAAAACCTACCTTTCTGTGTCTGCTTTCTGCAGCAGCCAGTTGGGATAACATTCTTTCCTGCATGTTCTTGCAATGTTTCATCACCACTTTCAAAATAGATAAAGGATTGGAGCACACTGGTTGTTTTTCACCATGATTCCCCTCTTTCAGGGTCTCAAAATCCCTCTGCAGAGCCATCAGTGGGTCGCTGATGTTGTACTTGCCATAGCGTTCCTCGATGAACGTGTCTCTGTGCTGGGCCTGCAACACAAAAACAAATTTGCATTTTAATATCCTTGAAGCAAACAAACAAAAAAAAGGAGCTGAAGAAGGAAGCATTTTGTAGTTAATATTCCTCTCTCTCTGTTTTCCACTTAGAGATAAAGAGAACTCCACACAGTCTGATTCATATCCTGTTATCTGCTACAAGAATAGGAGCATTCAGACAGGAAAAAACACAAGTGTCATGTTAAAGGTTAACAGACAGGAGAGTAATTCATAAAACAAAGGGGTCTACCTGAAAGGCAGCACAGCCCATGCCACTGAAAAAATAAAAGTCCACCTGGACCTTCTGATCACACCAATAACAAAGGGACAAACACTCTGATCAAATTAATACCATGAGAAGGTAAGTGTAGGGTGAGGACAATAATCCTTCTACCATCAGAAGGGTTTTTCAAGCTGTTAAGTTTAAGGTTTCAGCTGGGCCCCAAGCTGATAAAAATGCTCATTAATACATTTAAAATGGGCAATATACCTCGAGTGCTGTGTCCAGCTCTGGCCCATCACTGCAAGAAAGACATTGAGGGGCTGGAGCGTGTCTAGGGAAAGGGATGGAGCTGGGAAAGGGGCTGGAAAAGGGGCTGGAGCACCAGGAGCAGCTGAGGGAGCTGGGGGGGCTCAGACTGGAGAAAAGGAGGCTCAGGGGGGACCTTCTCTCTCTCTGTGAATGGCCTCCAGCTGTGCCAGGGGAGGGTCAGGTTGGACATCAGGAGGAATTTCCTTCTGGAAAGGGTGGTCAGGCCTTGGCAGGGGCTGCCCAGGGAGGTGGTGGAGTCCCCATCCCTGGAAGTGTTCCAAAAACGACAGGACATGGCCCTCAGTGCTCTGGGCTGGGGGACAGGGGGGTGTTGGGTCATCAGCTGGACTCGATGATCTTGGAAGTCTTTTCCAACCTTAATGATTTTATGAAAAGCTGGTGGTCTCCCACTAACAAAGACAATAAAATCTACAATATGGAAGTAAAGCCAGCTCTGGCCTGGATCAGATGCACAGCTGGGCACCTCCCCACTTCACAACTGTTCTCCAGGTGAGACACCTGGAGTGGTTTTTGTAAATGTTCTCATTCCCACAGCTGGAACAGAAGCAAACCCACACTATTCAGCCTGAAACAAGTCCTGAGGAGGTTAGAAAAAGCATGTGCTTGATTAACTTCTCACTGTCCCCGTTGAACAGTGATTTTTAACCAAGTGGCCCCAGACAAACAAGAAATAAAGGAAAATCTTGCTTAAAAACAGCATCTCCACAACACATTCAGTCTACAAACATCCTCATACCACACCTACCTGCCATGGCCATGACTTACATTCCACAACTGTGTGAAAGCAAAGAAGGTAAGAACCAGCTCCTGCTCAATAAAAGATCTAATCATTTACTGTCCCATCAGTGAAAGAAGCAGTTTGTGTGGTTTCCCTGACTGTGTCACCATCAAAGAATTTCGTGTTGAGCAATTAAAGAGTTTCATTCTTGCCAGAGCCTATAAATCTGTGAATTGTTAATAAAATCCTTAATGTTCTCATCCAGACTAAACAGAGTTCAGTTTCTCAAGAAGCAAGACAGGACTGATGAGGTTTCTTTGGTGACATGTAAGAATTGAGACAACTCACATGTACCAGGCTCCACATTTACAGTGTTTAATGGTTGGACTCGATGAGCTCAGATGTCTTTTCCAACCCAAATGATTATGAATCAGCCATTCCATCTGGAAATCTGTCTGTTAGGATACCAATAGGCTTATCCTACTGAATGATTACAGTGAAGTTCTGAAAACTAAACAAAATTTCATAAACACCCAGATATTAAAGTATTATCTGCATGTTTACCACCATGATAAGAAACCATGTGAAAACAGATATTTATGCAACAAAAGACACAGGAGGGAAAACAGTTCTAGACACAAAAGAGCCCTCAGAGCTGTCCTGGCTGGGAGAAACATAATCATTGCTTTCTACTGAAGTGGTTCTGGGCTTTGTGAAAACCTGGGACTCTTTCATTGTGGGATTCTGAGCATTTGTGAAAACCTGGGACTGTTTTATTCCCACGGGTACCACTGACAGCACAACCCCGTGCCCAGCAGAGCTGCTGCACCTGCCAGGGAATAACACCTTCCAAATCCCAGGTTTAACTTGGATTCCTCTGGATCCACATTGTCTCCTAAGGACTGGTTACCATGACAATTCACACCTTTCCTTTGCCATATAAATGGCTCTGTTCTGTTCTGACCTGGCCCTTTTTTTTTAGTGAGGCCACACATGTGGGTTTTCCTCTGCACAAGTTCCCTGCAGCACTGCAAGGCAGGAGTGAGTTCTAGTGCCTTTAACCACAGTGTGTTTAATTTAGAACAAACTTTAGCACCTTCAACCAGCCAAGCACTGTGTGACCCACAGGAGGCTTCTGATCCAAGCTGCACTTTTCCTGCCAGGGCACACAAATGACATGTTTTTGCCTCCAAACGAACGCTGCCTGTACTTTTATCAGATGTGCTTCACCTTTCTGCTCCCAGCAGATCACAAACAGCAACTAAACCATCCCAAATGGAGCACAGCAGTTTTCCAGAGCTGGTGGAGGGCTCCAAGCAGCAGCCCCACGCAGCCCTGGCTCTGCTGATGGTGTGAATGGCACAGAGCTGGCACAGGGTGGAAAACAAAGCTCCCAGCTCTGAATGCAGAGCCAGCCCGTGCCAGCCTCACTGGGCACCTCCCCAGAAACCCCCTCAGAGAACAGGACTGGCAAACTGTCCCCCATTTCTCATGGGACTGCACAAGGGCATCTTTCAGATAGCAAGGACTGAGCCTGGCTCAAATGAAAAGGCAGCTCAGAAGCCAGGACTTCTTGGAATGGCTGTTTCCTGATGTCCCAGGATCAAAAATGCAAAATATTTCACTTGAGCACACAAGGGCTGTAGTCACAGAGCCATGGAATATCCAGAGTTGGAAAAGACCCACTAGGATCATTGAGTCCAACTCTTGGACCTGCATTCTAAGGTGCAACCACGTGAGTGGCATGAAAAAAAATTAATAAAGTCAACTTCTGCTCTCCAAGGGAGAGGTGTTTGCATTGCCTTGACAAAAGGTAGAAAAAATGAAACCAAAATACTTTTATTTGCATATCTCCTCCATAACCAAACCCAATTAGGGACATTCATCCTGTTTGGAGCTGGGTTTTAACCCCTGCAGTAAACACCCACAGAGGAACAGCTCACACTCACAGAAACCCCTCCCTCTCTATCAGCAATACCCATCAGGAACTGTGGATACCTTTGATCAGAGCTCCAGATATTGTTCTAACTTTACACAATGAAAAAAAAAGGAGAGGAAGGAAAAGATCAGCCCTGGAAATGGGAGGGCAATCCTGGATAATGGGGCAGCCCTGGTTTAATGAATCACAGGAAAAACTACAGGCTGGTTTTTTTTAGGTTTGTTTGGTTTTTTTTTTTCCAGGAACAGGGAATCTTCAGTTTTTCTGAAGAATTTATAAAAATGACTCAGTGAAACCTCAGTATAAGTGTGGAGGGAATTTCTACGTGACTCAAGCTTTAAAAAGCCTGTAAATATAAATTGGGATATCCATCCAGCTGGCCTAATTGCCTTGACAGATGAGCTTAATCCCAACTCATCCCAGTGCTGGTCATTCCACAACCACCCAGGAACATGGGAGAGACCCTTCCAAAGGGCACCAGTGTTTCAACAGTGTAAACAAACCTTGCCTTTACTGGGCAAGTTCTTCCTAATAAAATCTCAAAGAACTGGGATTAAGGTGTGTCCCCCTCCATTTTTTGCAACGCTGGAGGTGTAACCAAAGCCCTGTTTTCCTTTGCTCCTCACAGCACTGATCCCTGTTGAATTTAGTGGGATGGTTTATTTCCTGTCTGGGAAAGAACAAGTAGTTCTTCCTTGCTACTCTGAGCAATTAAGTGTTTTCCTGCACTGGCATGACAAACAGATGAGACTATCATAACACTAAGAGCTTTCTCAAGTCCAGCTATTCTTCTTTAATAGCCAGCAGAGCATAAACACTTAATTAAAGTTGTCTAGACTAGGAAAAGTCTCAACCAGGTCATCCTACACCGACCACATCTCGTTTGCAAAAACAGACCCAGTGCTTTGGCATTTGGGCCACCGTGCACTTGGGAATGCAAACAGGGATTTTTTTGCAGAGCAGTCACCAAAAATCATCGAGGCAGCTCTTTGAAAATGAAGTCACAGTGCCATAATATGCAGAGGTTGTTTTATACAGGTGTGGAAGTGTCACAGAGTGACTCGTGCTCCTCACTGAGACAACTCTGCAGCTCAACTTCTCCACCACTGGAGGACTCATGTACAAACATCTCCAACAGCTGGGATTTTGTCCTGTCTGAACTAAAGTTCAGTCTTAAATACAGTTGTTCAACCTTCAGAACAGAAGGAACTTCATGATGGAAGAGAAATATTCTGTTAGTGAGCCCAAAAAGCTTAGATCTCAGATCCCACTATCAGCCTACTGAAACACAGAGATCCACAGGAAGACAGGCTTTGATAGTAAGGAAATAAGGTTACAAAATGCATTGTTAACTCAGGGGTGGAAAATTTCATCTGGATCAGAGATGACATATATACTCCCAACAGCAGCAACTGTGCTTTGAAAGAAGATGAAATCCTCTGCAACTGGATGATCTCCTATTTTAGCACCTCCACCTGCAGCATCTCAAATATGCAGCTGGGAATTTCCTATCAAAACACTCCAACCCCTGAAGCAATTAAATGGATTACTCAGCAGTTTGGAAGACTAATAAACTGCCCTCTCCCAACAGGAAAAGAAGATAACATTTAAGCTTGGGCTGCTTTTAAAAAAGGAAGCAGCCACGCACATCAAGTGCTCTTAAAAATAAAACTCCAGACTTCTGGAAGAATTAGGCAACAGCAGAGAGGGTTCCATGTGAAACTGGCTGGCTTTGAGCTCCGGTTTGGGTAATGGACCACTGCTAGTCCATTTGGGAAGAGATA